ACCTCCCACTCCCACTCCCACTCCCACTCCCACTCCCACTCCCACTCCCACTCCCACTCCCACTCCCACTCCCACTCCCACTCCCACTCCCACTCCCACTCCTCTCATTCCACCAACACTTTAGTGACCCAGCTGTAAACACTTCTTGGTTTTGATTTTACGCAATGGTGGTTAACCATCGAGTTATTTCGGAAGGGTTAAGATGAAAAAATAACGACACGCCTGGATGCTTAATAGCAGAATGTCCAGGACCGGCCGTGACTATGTGAGCGGTACATCATCAATAGATTTTTTGAGCAAAACGGTTTGAGTTATTATTGGTTCGGCTTAGTTTCGCCGACGGAGCTCCCAATGTGCAGGATCTAAGATGTCCACAATCTTGCAATGAAAGTGCAAGAAACCTTACGATTTCTGAATCTCCTATGTCATACAACAAGATTTAGGAGTATAGGAATCTGAACGAAAAACTTCTCGCCAAGGAAAAACGACACTACTTTTGTAACAATACAACACTCATAACCTTGTTTACCTCCCGCAAGTCTTGTTGGCAGTGTGGCAAAGCCGAGCAGAATGACTGAAGCCACCTCAAGCTTTTTTGTTGATCAACTGCGTCTGATCAAAACACGTCATTATCAGTTCAGGAAGCGTTGTGCATTGACAAATTGCAGCAATTGACGTGCATCGCCAGGTATGCACGTCGAAACGCCCACACCTGACATTTAGACATCGCCGGACATGCTCATCTGCTTTGTGCTCTTCCTCGAAAACTCTTCATCATTTATATGCCTTTACAATTTCTATCAGTTCCGTGAATCCGTTAAACATATGACTGCTCTCCATCTTCAGTTTCAGGAAATTTTCGTCACTTCAATCATGCACAACCAGTGCCAGTTAAGCCTTCAAAAACAACACACTTTGGTGGCTAACAACTGCTGCATGTTCTTTCCGACGAGAGGCCGAGCAAGAAACTGACAAGAAGCAGAAAGAAAACGAGGAGCGAAAATAAAGAGCAAAAGCAGTACGTTGCCGTCGCAATGGGCAGGTTTGTGGTTGAGCTTGTGTGGGTCCTGTCGCGAACTGGCTTTAGCCTGAGGTAGTTGATTCAGTTGTGTAATGAAATTGAGAAATTCATGTACTTTGTGTATTGCCGGTTATCAGCGGATAATGTCGTGCGACATCAAATTAAGTACGGTCGTAACAATTGTGTTAAATCGTAAGCGTTGGGCCAACCAGTTTGTTTGCAACGTAATAAAGAGTTTTCGAAAAACTAGGACTCATCGAACGTATCCATGAATTTTTGCACCGAGCATTCGGCGAACTGAAGTAGTAGGACGGTTAGGTTTCCGTTAGAAGTAAATTGTTCTCATTTGAAACTGTGTTGGCTTCGATGGCTAATTAATCTTCGATACCGGATTGAGTAACGGAGCTTAAAGTGGTTTAGTAAACAACATATGCCTTGAATGTCGGGCTAATTTGGCGCTATAACCTTTGCTGGTAATGATTTGAACCATGCTCATTATCATGTTTCACATCCATCCACTGTACATTTCTAGGATCTCTAGAAAGTGTAGCGGACGAATGGCATTTTGGGCTGAAGAGTAGGACAGAAAGACTGTATTAGAACTGAATGCGGTTGTCCAACAAGCTGCTCTTTATGATTCGTGCGGATTCACTGTTATCAGTCCTTATCAGCCGTGATCCCTTTTCGTCCCCCACCAAATATGTTCCCGTCCCACCCTCTAGATCACCTTTCGAAACCGACGCCCCACTGCTGCTAGGAGGAGCGCTATGAATTTCGCAAAGTTTCCGTCCTTGTCAGCTCACATCAGTCGTTATCACTTTGAACCCCTTAACCCGCATCTGATCGATCATCCTCTACATAAACTCTTGACCGGGTTAACTGATGCTGTGTCGCGCGCGCTATGATTTTGTGAGATTTTGACATCACGCCTTCTTATCAAATCTTATGCATCGTTATTTGTGACACAAGATATGTTCCCGTCCCATCTCTACTATCATATCCCAGATCGACTCCTGACGACTGTTGGCGAACGGCACTGTATGAAATTTCGTGCACACACACTTGCACAAAATGAACATTAAAGTTGTCGAATTCAGACGTGTGCTCTTAGCTTGAACTTCCATCAGCAGCAAAAAGAGTCGCGGGCACAAGCAGAATAATGCGGATTCATGAAATGCTCCCGAGCTGTGCAATGCCTACTCAACAGAATAGAGACAGTCAAAGGAAAATAGGGAGCTGTGGGCAAAGTGGTGGACCTTTGTTATGTTCAACGTAAAAAAAAGCGCTCCGGCCAAACATAAGCTCTTTGTAAAAAAAAATTCGCTATCGTATGAAAAACTGTAATGACGATGAGCCGTTAAAAATGTCCTAAAACAGTGTTGAACATACGTATTTTTCCGTCGAAAAAAAAAACAAGAAAAAAACCTCTGTTTAAGAGTGTCATTAGAATTACCTGATGTCCAAAGCAGTTCACCATCACACTCAGTCCACAGGAAGGGGTCTTTGGAAGTTATCTCCTTAACATTTACTGCAGATGCTGCTTTTCTGACAGTATACATATTGAGAGAAGTGAACAGTTGCAAAAAATAAAAAGATGAAGATAGCAACAGGTAAAAAGACCTACTTCAGACATCGATGCAAGCGTTTTCTTGGATTTTTTCGATAATATATTCGACGAAGGAGGCAGATCGGGGGCACGTTTTTTCTTATGGCTACGCATTAGCAACATCAAGTCAAAACACAGCAACCTACATATCACATGAGTATTGCAGCAATGCCATACTCCCATCGTAAGCTTGCTTTAGAGTTATCTATCGTAAGCTATTCATGACTGACACTTGTCTTGTAGACTGCAAAACGCAAGTATAAGGTGGATTTCCACAAGTTTTTCAAAAATTCTTTTGCCTAAGGCGCATGGACCATCGATTCCCTACGTATTCTTTGCACGTAATACACGTTTAGCATTGCAATGCCCCTTACTTTCTTTTTGCTCTGTTCCATAAGATTTTCCCATGGCCGGTATGCGTGAGGAACATGCGTGATTCTGAGTCGTCACATTATCATTTTTCCTGAGTTTTCGCACAGTTTCATCTGTCGCGGGTCAGTGAGCGTTTATACGCACACTTATGTTTTATTTGGCCTAGACTGGCGAAGAAGACTAGTATGTGGATCATACGACTGTAACACTGTCGGCAGAACGTCGACATCTTGTTGCTGGATGTAGTAGCTGATGCCCTCATTCGCGATTTTTGATCAGGGTATGGAGCGTTTTTTTTCGATATCTGCCTGCTGTGGGCACGCACAATGAACTCAAATAATTAGATAGTTAATTTTGCTAAATGTACTCATACGACAAACCGAAAGAAATGATGCGTGACCTCATTAGCAATTATATGGATTGTGTCGCACAGAACTTCCATCTAAGAGGAAGAGGCATTAGGCAAGTAATGAGTGTGGTTTCAAATACGCTCCCTTTCAATAATGGTATTGTGCAGGTAACCGGCTTCGGAAAGATAGAAGCCTGGACAAGATTGGATTCGAGATCGGATCACCCAACCGTACGTGCAAAACGTGACACCACCACACCGCCTCCGCAGCACTCCGCTCGAACAGGACTTATGATATTGAGTGACTTAAAAGTTTTTATTTTTTTGCGATCTGAGCATTTCAAATAGCGATATATTCGGTTGAAAACGAATTGGTTCCATGATGTGTACTGAAAGTGTTTGTGTTGGCTATGCAGGCGGTGTCAATCCCACATGGTACAGCGAAATAAGCTGACGAGATCCAAAAAATTGGCACCGGCAATGACATTAGTTCATCCGGTGATGATTCGGTTTTTCCATAACTTGATTGGCACTCACATGCACAATGTTTCGATGCGTCCAGCGACAATACTGTGTCATATAGTAACTAAAACCCTGAATGAACTCTGTAATGTAGGCTGTTAGCGGGATATAGTGAGAAAAGTTGCGGTGCAAGATGCCAGATGGCATGGCGTCAAAAACTGATTCGTGATCAGTGTTCCGAACGACTCTTGCGGAAGCGTTCGGGGAAGAAATCGAAATTCTGCCCTCAATCCGAAGAACGGTATTGCTATAGGTATGTTAGTTGCCCATCATCCACGCCAGTGAACAATTAAGAATTGAAGGAGTAGGAAAGGTGGTAATACTGGTTCGATGTGCAGGGGATAGAGATCTTGGAATTGAGTGCATCCTGTTTCACGTCTTCGAGATAGGTTCTGGTCAAACTGTTGATAAGTACCCAATCATGTTAGCAGTTGTGAACTTAATCGCCACTGTTTGAAGATGAGTAAAATCTGATGCCTTACCTAACTGTAGTCCCTTGGCCATGATCAGCTTAAGTGTGTGTCACTGTTCAATTTTTACCTTGAAGTTGTCCGCCGTTCACTGATTGTGAGGGCCTCCTCTCGCCTCGCCCTTTTCTTGGCGAGCTCAGGTCACAACCCCAGGTAACAGATTGCGAACAAATCGCTTACCAGATTCGCTAATTATATTAGGTTGCAACACAAGCAATAATTAAGCAAAGATTACGTTTATGTTGGGAAATTTGCTTCTAATCTCTCTAAATTTCGCTACGCTTACGTGAACATTCTTTTCTATCTCGGTGAACGCCGCTCTTTCTCTTCTGCACTGTTTTTACAACGATGCTGCGAGAGGTGTTCGTCGGCCTTTTATTTCAAAAGGTATCGCTTCGTATCTTCCGGAAGTCAGGCTACCTCTAAGATCAGCAGAAGACGAGGAAACGGTACTCCAGCGTTTACACTGCTCAGCGCTGCCTTTTTAGTTTGAAGGTCTCCACACACCATCCACCCCATGAGGGTCAATCACGATGCTCTCTCTACCTGATGCTTTCGGAAGGGATCTGGGAAGCTTATCGATTATTTACCAAAGCAATGCTGATAGTTCAAGGTAACAGTGCCGAGGTATCTCCATAGAGCTATAAAGAATCGGGAATGAAGTTTGGATCACACATGCCTTGCACACGAGAAGAATCTCAAACACGATCTACATAATTGTTCGAGTTGGTTTACTACAGTTCTTTCAACTGACCATAGATCATTATGCTAGGTGTGGCATTGAGTAGAATTGGGTAATCTATGAGAAAGGGCAATTCATAAAGTCGGCTTTCTCATATTTTGTGGCACGAGAGTAAACGAGCTGAAAGCTCACGTGGGAATGTCAGATGGTAGAGACGCGAAATCAAACGTTCTTAGTCGTGCAAGGTTTTCTGTAATAAGAGATAAACAACGTTAACTATTTTCAAAACTGTCGACCATTTAGTACAACATCATAATAACAATGAAGTAGGGAAATTTGGGCCTTGCAGCAGATAAAGGTTATCCATATCCAGCCCTAGTTAATATCCCTTATCTTCTTCCAAAAGGAATGCCCAATTGACTTCTCTCTCGATAATGTTTTGATCTTAAAGCGAGAGTTACGATGAAGTGCATGTGCAGCGTGGAAAGAACCGCACCAGTGTGACCAGGAGCCAAGGCCAAAAGAACCAAGACTTCCGTGGCCTAAAGTGCGCTAGTTCCGGCGCGCTGGGGCTGCCAGACCCTTGTGAGCCGCCTCTGCCTGTGCCAGCAGCACCATTATTTGACTATCATTCCGATCAGACTAAGTCAAAGCATGGTCTTCGCTACCATGGTGGTAGCTATCGGTTTAACATGTGCAACGACCTCTTAGTTGGTTGCTAGCTCGTCCATTATCGGAGGTCAACGGGCAAAGAAAGGGGTCCCATTTTGCGCCTTCTTGACGGATTTCTTTGCTTTTTTCGCCTACTGGGGCATTATTCAGCATCTCCACTTCCACTATGAACCCAGACCAATCTTATCGTGACCCCTCGCTTCAAATCGGAACTTAATGGAGGTCAAAAAAGAGACATCAACCAACTGCTAGTGCGTTGGCAATATTTTGTTTAATAGATAAGAGTGGTGGTAATAGTGCATATCACGAAAGAAACAAAGAAGTAATAGAAACAAAGTAAAATAGAAATGCAGCTAGTATGCAGCAGAAGTTGTGTACCGAGCTCATACTTGTCTCGAGACGCACAACGACAGAAGATATACTCTACTCCTGCGGCTCTGCGTCGACTCATCCCAGTCGCCTCCACTCGGGTGTTCGTGCGTGCGTTAGGGGAGGACGATGCCGTGATTTTCTATTATGCAAAAGTTCAAGACAGATCCGGTGTTCCAAACTTCACGAATAATTACCAATCAGAAACGCTGCCGTATTCGTCAAGGAAGAATGACCAGGCAGTTCGGACACTATACACATTTTACACTGTTTGTATAGACGATTACGAATTGAGTCCCTCAAGACGGCAAAAGGGGCAACCACAGATTGGTTGGACCCCACAAAAGCTTCGAACGGGAGGGGTAAAGGACTTCAAGTTTTTTTAAAGGACGATGGTTCGTTGAAATACTCCTAGCACGAGATAGGAACGATGGAAGCACTACTGGCGTTCGCTTGAATAAGGAGCTCAACAAACAGTGGAACGGCAGGTATTGTTGAACAGATTCTATTGTACTATGAGGGTCATTCATCACGCTGATCACGTATCCAACATTAATTTCCGGCTTCGGCGTTTCTACACCACAACTTTTTTCTACCTGTTTCAAGCATACTTGTAATGAACATGATGTCCCTCACTATGTGTATGACATCCAACTTGGAGTTGTGCCTCGCCGTGCCAGTATGCAGATGCCGACGTGAGGAGCAGATTCTCATCCGGAGGATCAAGCTTTGGACCTTTTTGTACACCTTTTTTTGAACAAACAGAAATGATCAAAGTCTTTTTATTTCATACATAGGCCTCTACTACGTAAGGAAACCATTTTGGAAAAGCGCTCCACACCGTGAACGACCTACCACGTTATCACACTACATCAACACGGAATATCTTCTCGCTCCATCACCTCTGCTTACGGATGTAATGAGAAGCAATTCTTCTCCTCCCCCACCACCTCCAGTTCTGTATACATTGAAATAATTACTTGTTGTCACTGGTCCTGCTGTCATCAACGTGCGGGACTTGTTGAACAGTAGAGGATTGTTGACCAATTTAACTTGTGGATCATCTTCTTTTATTTCGATGCCCTTGAGCTTGGGCATTGGTAACGCTGTCAGATCGGGGTTATTCTCGACGACGACCAAAAATGTTTGATTTCCTGTAAAACAGTCCATCTCCTTCTGTCAAAATAATTTCTAATAAACTCGTGACATACATAGCAAACAGTGGGTCAAGTGTCATCAAGGACTTACTATATTGCTAGGAGACCCATGCTATCTTTTTCTACGGAAACAAAAAAGGTTGACTGATTCAAATGAGGCTTTCTTACATCATCAACTGCCACACATTTCTGCTCGCTATGGCTACGAGACACGCGCGGAGGTCATGACTTCGCAAACTAGATAGTTGCTCTGTGTTAAGAGTTCTATGATTTGTGTGTGAAATTGAATATCGCATATATTCATGGCAGTATTCCTGAGCACACCCTTATTGCGGCGGACCTAACTTTGTTTACGCAAAGCCCAAGACACCAAAGTAGGCACAATCTTTGGGATTTACATTTTTATGGAGCATACCGTTGAGTGGTTCTATTTTTTCGAGGCTCGAGAAATAATCAAATTTTCCAAGTCCTTGATTATTATTGATAATGAGTTGCCCTTTGATGGTTTTGATGCCTCGTAGCACGTGAACTGTCTGTGGTTTCCCTGAAAAATGAAAACTGTTCTTTCACCTGAAGAGGATAGGGGTTACAATGGGTCTATCGAAAGGCGGAGTATGATACTACGTAGGGAAGAGGGCATCGCGGCACAGCAGTTAATCGCTGCACAAGTAATCCAAATCTCCTTGCAGAGGAAGGAGCTGCAGGACCTGTGAACCATCTTTAATAAAAAGGGCTAGACTTAGATTAAGCATAAGCCAATATTTCTCAGTGTTTTCTAAACACTCCCACACATCGTTTCTCAAGATAAAAGACTGGGCGAAAACCGGCCACAGTAATAGCGCTTCGCTTAGCTGGCATTACTGCTTAACGAAAAGGTTGTTATGCAGAGCGCTCAATAAAGAAGTCAGAGACATGAACTGGACTGCGAGTGGGAAAGAAAACCAAGGAATTTATCGAATAATTTAGAAGTGCGGGCTTAAACCTTCTGTAGGGTCAACCGGAGACACACAGCGCGCAGAGAAGCGACAATACACACAGCACGCCGTAGATACATGGCCGCTGCACGGCAGATAGGAGCTCCACATAGAGCCACTGAACGAGAGCAGTGGCAAGAAATAGTGCCCTTGTCGTCCACTCTTTAACGGTGGTAGCGTCACACAGCAACCTTCCAAATAGTCGGTCTGACCATGAAACGGTGACTGCAGTGGTCCGATATGAAGATGTGTCCTCAAAGGCTATTGGTGCGATACATTGCTCGCCAGAGGAAGCAGTGTAAGATGTGGTGTGGGACAGTATACAAAAACGGCATCCGACCATTTCTCATGGAATGGAACCCCTGCATGCTAATATGTTTCAGCTTTGACGAGCGACCAAGGCGCACTTCAAATGGAGCTTCACTCCGACACGCGGCATTGTGATAACAGATGTAGTGCAGAGGGATTGAATGTGCTTTAAAGTGATATATTGAGCGTCGTATTGCTTTTTTCAAACGGAGTCTGTATAAGCTGGAAGACTACTAATTCCAAACGTAGAGATAAAACACCTTTCCAATTAGAGATGGAGAGATCTCCATGCACATGAGCGCAATTTCCCATATTTCGTAAATAGTCGTCGGTTACAGCTCCACCGATGCAATCACTCTCTGAAAGTTTTGATTAATACACTTTCTTGTAGCAGTCCTTTGAGAAGAAAGTTGTCATACGGCACGAATCCTTGTTATCTGAGACTTCTATGCCAGTAAAAAGTGAGTAGATGAAGTCGAGTTCTTTGGTGAGACACAAGCGCTTATTTCCCCGGATATCTGAAAAATTTGGTTCAAATTCTATAATAGAGAACGTTCATGAGTTGCACTGATAAACTCGGTCACAAACATGTAAGGATGGATAAAGGATAAAGCATTTGCCGTTGATCAATCCTTTTTTGGGATGCGGTACTTCCATTTGTATTAGGTCGGTCCATAAGTCTTGCAACAAACTGGCTGAATTTTGATTTAATATTTTTATTATCTTTTTGTTCCATTCATCCAGCATGCTACACACCATCAATATCTACAACCTATTGCCAACGCACTAGAAGCTGTTCGATGCCTCTCTTGTAGAACTCCACTGAATCTGATCGAAGAAAGATCAGATGTCGATTTTGACATCACGATGGTTAGGATGAGATTTCTTCTCTAGGACGTGGTCTGGAGAGGGAGCAGGTGGGCATCCTTTGGCTCGAGGTCAGGAGCTATAAGGTGGATACGGAAGAACTCTCCGTCCGAGAGTCCTAAAATTTTCCTGGATTTTCTTAGCAAGAGGTGGTTCAACGGTGTCATAAAAAAGCAAACTTTGCCTTGTTTTTCTTTCGTATTGAAAGCGTTGCATTCGAGCTGTGGACGGTTGACTTCCGCGTTGACTGCGACATCTACATGTAAGGGTTCCAGAGCTCAACTCCT